TGAGAACAGACATGCGCACATTCACTTGCTTAATGAATTGTACGTTGGAAGTTCTTAAACAAAATGCTGCAGCCATAAAAAACCCAAATACAAATTCTCAGTTGCTTTTGTACAATGAAGGAACATAAAACATTACGACAGAAGTTTATTTAGCCTCATAAAAAAAGTTCATGAAGACAAATACATACCCCTTTGGCTGTTTTTCTTTGCCATGTTGTTACAAAGACGTATGAGAGAGATTCTTGGTTTTAACCTTCGTCCAGAATGTAAAATAACCGTTTGAATATGTTTAAGCTGGTGCTCAAATGACGACTCCACGTGTGGTAACTTTCACCTCGAGGGTTTCTCTTTTGAGACGCCAGCGACGGACAGAACTGGCAGGAGGGCCGGAATGATGAGGTCGAGATCAGTCCTCCACCATAAAGAAGAAGTTCTCTTTTTGCTTCTTCACCAGCTTGATCTTAATCTGCATCAAGGAGTAAATTGAGAAAAGAAGAACTAATGATCAAAAATAGTTGCATGTGAACTTCTCCAACGTAGAAATATAACTGAATGCATCTATGAAGCAAAAGCACAGACTGAACCTCGATTTCTGCCATATCTGAAAATGTGTCTGCAAATGAAATAAAAGCCATTTCCCCTGACTATAGAATATGAATGAAAAACAGTTTTCAATAAATTATTATCTGCCAGAGCATTCGCAGAAAAATCTGCAGTTAATATTGTCCTTGGCAAAAGCACTGAATTTAGTTTGGGTTATTTGGGCAATAGAGCAACACATCTTCGAAGGGTATTTCCTTTTTCTCTGCAGGAGTGATGGGTGATAATGTTGTGGGGGCACCACAGAATATTTATCTCTTTGAATGGATGGATGACGAATGTAAATCTAAATATGTGACACGTTGACAATCAGCCTTGATCAAAGATTTCCACAAGTATTTGGGATTTTCCAGCAGCCTGACTGGCGACACAGACGAGCGAGGAATTATGCCGGCATCATAAATGTGAAATAAAAATCTTTGACCATGTGCCTTTGGACACGGTGTAGCCTTCACATGTGGTTTAATTCTGTTCACAAATTATTTGTCTATTCCTGTAAATCAAAAATTTGCTTGGCTACTGGGGAAGCTGACGAGTCTGACAGTCACACATAGAGAAAGGAGGTTAGGTTTATTTAATAAAGCACAAGAGACTAAAGTCACATAAATAACAATAAATGAAAGTGCTTCAGGCAGAATAAAGAACACAAGAGAGCAATAATACACAATAAATATAAGCAGCACAAAAAAACCTTGCAACAAAAGAGACAATAAACAAACACGGGTTCAAACACGCGGAGACAAATGTCAGAGTGATCGACGACTCTTTAGTTGTTTACAGCCGAAGGTAAATCTATAAGTCGAGCTCCTTTAGGTTTAAAACGGATGATGGGACGCCAGTGTGAGAATATTGAGATGTCAGAAGAAGTGGGGGACCTGGACAACAATCCAGCAGCAGCGTTCTTCTCGGACCACTTGAGGACGGTCCAGAGACGATTTATTAGACAAGGTGAAAAGGAGAACTGTAGTCGTCTGAAGGAGATGAAATGAAAAGGTATGAATGATAATCTGTATGGGCGTATCTTACTTGGCCTCTGTTCTGAAATAAAACCTGCAGTGCATCAAATGTTTGTGTCCAGCAGTTCTTAAATTACAATAATCGCATGATCAAAAAGGTATTTTGACATTTCAATGCTTTGCAATTGGGAAAAGTAACAACGGCACGTCTCTATAACAGCCTTGTGTGTTTTGGAAACAAAGCCATACAGTCAACACTGTACCCGCACGGAAGACAAGCAAACATATCCATGTCTACTTTAATCAGACCTTTAAAAAAAATGCTTGGGCAAGGCTTTTAGTCATCAGGGATTTTATGGGCCCAGCTGTTTCCTTCTGGAGGATTTCACTTTCGGACCCTGCTTCTCCAGAAAAGGAAACTTAGACGCTGTGCAAACCCACGCCCTGCTGATTAGGACCTGACATGTCAGAGTCCTGATTGCACCACACCTTCACAGACGTCAGAGTCACATATGCAATATCAACAAGTGACACTGCAGTGGCCAGTCATGCAAATAGTGACATGCATTGTGTTTATCAAGAGGGAAGGTGCTTGAAGGCGCCGAGTGAAGCACGGCTGAGTTTAAAAAGCGGAGAAGTTCACCAGTCGAGACAAGGAGGGTGTGAGTGACGCATTTAATTTGAAATGTGGATGGACGAGCCACATTCAGTCAAACTCATAAATCATGAACTCAGATCTGCAGGGAATCAGACGAGCTACCTCGCTGACCTCTTCGAAGACTCATCTGTTATAAAATGGCTTTTAACTAGATTCCTTATGTCAGTTTGTGAAGCACTTTGTAAATGGGTTTTGGAAAGAGGCTATATAAATTAAATCTTATCATTATTACAAAGAAGGTTTTAACTGAGATATAATATTATATTTCCTCATCCCCCTACTGGAAAACATCTTCACCTCCTGATGGAGAAACCACTTTGTGCTCAGCCACACGTAAAGCATGATGGATTTCTTAACCTGGGTTTTAAACAGATCATGTCCTTAATTAAAACAGATAGACAGATAATCAGATGGAGATTCCTGCAGCAGCAGAGACATGATAATACACCTTCTCTACGCCCCTGTCTCTGCATCAGACACATCAGCCTCCAGATGTGACTGCAACCACGTCTGCAGAAATACACGAATACACATACACGTGCACCTCCACAAACACTTTTCCTCACATCTTAGAAAATGGACATTTGCAGGAGTAAAAAGATTTTTGCAGCGTCCTGCCCATTACATAGCCAACTCCGTGTTAGCTAACTCCCCCACCTCCCCCCCCCCACACCCCTTCGCTGACACCGCAGAGAATTAGCATCACATGCGGTTAAAACGTCGGAACTTCCCTCTTTGCAACGACTTGTGTGTGCATTTTAATTCGGGTTTCTTTCCTGCGTCACTTCGGAGCTGCTTGCATTTTTTTGGGGGGGGTGGCTCGAGTCCCCCAGCGGTTGACGCTAGCTTGCTAACATTACGCAGCTTTGCACAGCTCTGCGTCGCACTGATGAGCAGCCGAGCGATGAGAACATCACGTATTAAAAAAGAAAAAACATTTAACGCAAAGTAGAAACGCTGTTTGTTTGTTTGTTTGTTTGTTTGGTGGAGCCTCAGCTAGCACGCAGCTAACAGGGCGCTTTAAAAAAAAAAAAAAATTTGAATGCGCTGCTGTCATGCTAACATCACTTAGCTCCTGGGTCGAACGGGTAAAACAACGTGGACGCGTCGGTCCGGTGTTCGAGGAGGAAACCCGGGTTCACCACGTACTTGTCTTCGGCAGGAGAAGTGAGCGGCGGCTTCAGGAAGCGGGTCGGCGGAGCTCCTGTCGTCGGTCGGTCTGTGGCGGACAATCCGCCGCTGCTCCGGTTCTCGGCGACCACACTCCCTCTGGGTTGCCAGGTTCGACTTGACCAGCCCCCGTCCCCGCCCCCGCCCCCCTCTTTAAAGGGATAGTTCACCCAAAACAGGGTTTTTACTTTAAGTAAAAACAAGGAAGAAAACCACAAGGACATCAGTGCAATGTCCAAGGAACAAGAGATCAACCATGAGTTTGTCCTCATAGATAGATACTGTGTATATATTTTTATATTTATATTGTTCAAYTTTAWTTTCTTATCTTYTTATATTTAGAGATGTCTGACATGCACCAACAGAACCAAAACCAATTCCATGTACAGCAATAAAGCTGTTCTGATTCTGATTAGATAGATAGATAGATAGATAGATAGATAGATAGATAGATAGATAGATAGTCAAGTCAAGTCAAGTCAAATCAAATCAACTTTATTATCAATAATGCCACATGTGCAGGACATACAGAGAATTGAAATAGCGTTTCCCGCTAATCCCCGGTGCAAAAAGCATTAAACATGAAATATAAAATATAAAAAATATAAGTAATTAAAAGATATAAAGTACAATTCTTTTTTTTTACATAGAGCAGAGCACAGAGCTAAATTGAAGCAAATGTTAAAACAGAGGAGACTGGTTGAATGTTAATCAAGAAGTATAAGAACATAAAACACTGCGAAGAGTACAGTTTGATGTCATGGCTCAGTGAGTGTGGGAGTTGTGTGGTGTCTATTTCCTGCATGGGCTTAGAATAAATCCTATATCCTGTTCCTTGAACTATTGTGAAAACATTTTTAAAATGAAATTGCCACAGCACAGAGCAACAGTAACTTACATTGAGGTTTGCTACGTTCTAAGTGACTGAAATAGGAATTGAAACCGATAATTTCACACCGATGCACAAACAAATAATGTCCTGCTATGATTGTGCACAGTTCCACGTACAAGCACCTGTTTTGTTTATTCACAAACACCCATTGACTTTGTAATACTGCATCAAACATGCTGCATTCATCAGTTACAGTTACAAATGCACAAGGACATGCAGAAGAAGTCACGTCTCCCAGAAAGAAAGAAAATGTGATTTTTTATTTTGAGTTTTATTCGATTTTTGCATTGAAATGTACAAACACAAAACAAAAACAACATTTGAACAAACGGTTGAAATGTGTTCTGACGGGGGCTGCTATTATTGTGTACTTTTTTTGTGAGTTGTATTTGTAAAAGGGATTTTTCTACTGTGCTGTGCTGTACTTTCATTCATGCGTAATAAATACTTTCACTTTGGCATTTTGTTCGATGCATTTTGATGCTAATCCCCCTTTACATTTATTCTGGCAAAATTATTCAACAGTGTTATTGTTGTTGCTTCTAATGGGGAACATTTAATGATTCCTGTTACTCAGCTGCATCAAGTTTTGTTTGGTTTTTGTGCAATAAAAATCCTCCCAAGCTCCAAACCTGGCAACCCACGATCCACGTCGTCATTTCCGAAGTCGAATAAAAAGGGTTCGCTCGGTTTCTCCACCGGTACCCGCCAGTTGCACGCTCTCGCTTCAGCGGTCGTCGTCTGTCGTCCGGCGCCGCTGTCCTCGCCCCGATACCCGCATGTGGACTCTGCGATGACCGCTGTCACATGGAGCGAAGACGCACCTTGAACCGCAAACATCTAAAAAATCTCTGTAGTTTGTCTCCGTGCGGGGTCCAAGTGAGCGGGAGCAGGGGGGTGGGGTGGGGGGGTAGTTTGAAGACACCGTCCGACTGAGGGGAGCGGGGAGCAGCTACAGCAAAATGGCAACTCCGTACGCGACAGATGAATCCGGTGAGGCAGCTGCGTGCGCGCGAGCTTTGTCTCCACGAAAACACAAACATCTGGAGCAAAGTCAGAAACATCAGCTCGGCCACAGTCCGTCCTCTGCGCCCGATCCGCCCGACAACAACACGGGGGAGGGGGGGGTCTGCAGCTAGCTCATGCTAATCGTAGCCTATTTTCCCCCCTGTAGCCTAGCTTGTGGCTAACGCGTGCCTGCAGCAGGGGAACAGAGTCACACATGGAAAATACTCCTGAACAAACAAGGTTATTTGTGCAGCATCGTTGCAAAAAACAGTTTTAAATTAGCCACGTTAGCTTCACGTGCAACAAGCTGCTGTAGGAGCCAGGTGCTAACGTCAATTAGCTTCCTCTTCTGCCGCTACTGGGTTAATGTTGTGATCCCAGTCTCCGGTTTCAAACCAACCATCGTGATGTTTTACTGACAGACTCAGTCATTATTGTGTAGTTTTACTAATAAAAGTTAGTTGTTCAGGTGTCGGGGTAGACAGTAGTGTATTTACATCAGCCCACATGTGGATTAACACGTTATAAGCTGATTCATTAGGTTATCGATCGGGTTATTTATTGTTTGTTCACAAGCTGCAACATTCACATGAGGATCATCACACAAAACTTAAATTATTCAGGTCTGTTCATGCAACTATCTAAATGTTGTGACTGTTTCTTCTTCTTTCTTCAGGGAAATATATTGCTGCCACTCAGAGACCTGATGGAACATGGAGGAAGCCGAGGCGGGTGAAGGATGGTTACGTCCCCCAGGAGGAAGTACCAGTGTAAGTGCACTTCTTCTTACCTTGTACACGTTTCCTTATAAATCACAAATCGATAGATTGATTAATCGATGGAAGACAGACTAATGAACAAGGAGATAACAGTTGGGGATTGAAACAAGAATGTCCAATATTCTATGAATGATTAATACTTTTTGCATAAAGTGGAACACCTGTTCATTTTAGATTCTCATTCAGTTTTTGTCTCTTTCTGATTTAGTTATGAAAACAAGTATGTGAAGTTTTTCAAGAGCAAACCCGACCTGCCGCCTGGTATGAGCTCGTCTGAGGCGGAGCCGACGAAGCAGCAGCAGCAGAAGATCCCAGGTTGCGTTGACAGCGAGGGAGCCAATCTCTCCAAGTCGGCCAAACGCAACATGAAGCGCAAGGAAAAACGAAAACAGCAGCAGCACCAGGACCAGGACGGAGACGTGGATGTGGAGTCGGTGAGCGATGCTGTGGAGAATTTGTCCATTTCAGACGGTGGCGAGTCTTCAAACAAGGCGGCAGCGCCGGCTTCTGTCTCACCTGCCGACGATTCTTCAGCAGCTGCGGCTGAAAAGATCAAGAAGATCAAAAACCTGAAAAAGAAGCTGCGTCAGGTTGAGGATTTGCAACAGAAAGTGGACTCAGGGGAAATAGAACAACCAACAAAGGATCAGTTGGAAAAGCTGGGTCGGCTGAAGGCTTTACGTGAGGAGCTACGGCAACTCGAGCGTGATTCTTGAAGCAATAAAGGACAGAAGAGTCAGACAGACTGGACATACAGAGTACACACTGACACACGGGGACGGGATCTCTGCAGCTTTGTGATGATAGTTTCCATGTAACATATTCTACCTGTTTGATATTCATCATGAACTTTGAAAGAACAGTTTCAGCTCCTTGCAGAGAGAGACACCCTCAGAACTGATGAGCCTGTTTTCTAGATTCAAATCTCAACAACATCCTGACTCCTGCTCATATACTTGTATTGTTACAAGTGCAGTATTGTATAACCGATCAGCTATAAACATCTTTTCAAGACCTCATTGTAAATTGTTTTGTGCATGTCTGTCTTTTACATTTTGTACCTTTCATAGCATCAGGTATCGTGTAAACCGAAAAACATAAATAGAATCATTTTTGTCCAAAAGGATATAGTTTGTTCACCTTTCTGCTTTAATATTCTTGTCGATGATCGTATGGCCTCTTGTTGTGCCACTAATGTAGAGTCTATACAGTCATTACATTAATTAAAGTTACATGCTGCATAAAACCTTTATCTCTTAATGCGTTTCACTGCTCCTTGAGGTCATTGGATATTTTGGAAACAGGATACACACGTAATATAGTTTGTTTTATGTTCTGACAACAGATCCCATGAAAAGACCAAAACCAGTGATGAAAAATTCCTTAGAAATGAATAGACAGTGAGAAGAATGGGTAGCGGAGGGATTTTCTTGCCCTGAGCTGGAAGCAGTACAGAGTCTGAAATATCCTTGTGTTTAGTCTCTTGAGGACGTTGAACCCTCAAAATACTCGATCCTATATTTCCCATAAAGCAGTTTTCCTGGCCTGGTAAACTGTAGTAAAACTACACTGGCTGTAACAACAATGTTTTGCTATAAATTACCCTTTTAATTAATACTGTGTCCGTGATTCATGCTACATACTAGTTGTACACAATGTTTGCTGCACTTATAGTAAGTTTTCTCCTGCAGCCTATACATATATATATACATATATATATAAACACACTTAATTGTTTTAGACAAAGATTCATAAAACATATGTAGACTTCAGAACTTTGGTGTGTGCTAATCACACTTCACAAACATAAAATAGTATGTTATCAAATGTTTTTATTTTCTTTAATCTTTGTTTTAGAGCTGCCTCAAGCTGCGACATAGTATAATTCTATAGAATAATATTTTAACCACCTCAAAAAGGAACACAATCAAAATCAAGCTATTGTAAATCCAGTATCTGTAATTGTGGACAACGTGTGTGAGCATTTCCCCTCATGTTTTCTGAGCTGTGGTCCTCAGTGGTGAAGCAGGGAAGGAGGCGTTGTCCGTCTCCATTCATAAGACGATTGCAGGCGATGTTTACACGAGGGCGTTATTGTCTCTCCATGAATGGGCCTCTGCATTTTGAACAATATAATTAACTGTTGTCTCGTGGAGGAGGAAGTGGTTAGTTGTTTTCTTCACAGAGCTGCATCTGCACACCAAAGAATTTATGTCCAACATCTGTCACATCATTAATCACAATTGAGCAACAGCAGCAGGTTTTTCTAGAGCATCAGTCACGAGGCTGGAAAATAGTTGACTGATAAAGTTCTGCAGTTTAACTGAGTTTCACTAGTTTTCTTGTCCGACATAATTCTTTAACTTTTTACGAGGCGGTGATAAGCTGTTTTTTTAAAATTCATTGTTCACTTCATTTGACGTGAACATTACTCGGTTGTTATTCTGACACTTTGGAGACAAACGGCTCTGAATGATGGTGTAAGAAGGCGTGATCACGGTGTTAGTGTCTGAAATATGTTTTGTGTTTTTGTTGTCTACACATTCCTCGTACCAGTTTATAATGTGGTTTTGAGGCAGGTCTGGAGCCGATGGTATAAAAACCGAACCTCTAAACTGAGACAGCAGCTGTGACACAGGGACCCCGGCAGGATCCGCACACAGAGGATGGATGTACACGGAGGAGCCACAGTCCTCAGCGACGCTTAGAAAGATCTCGTTTGTCAAGTGAAAACATCGACTCGTTGTGTTGGACTCGGTTTAAATATTTTTTTTTGCTTCTAATGGAAAAAGACCCACGGTATAGAATGGGACACAGACTGAAGTTAACGGTGCTTTTTGTTTTGATGACGCCAGGTTCTTGCGTCGCCCTGAGCACACAGGAGTTCACAGGGGCAGTGGTAAGAAGATGCAGAAACACAAGTTGAGAAATGATTCTAAGAGTTTATCACATTTGAGTTTTCATTCTGTTTATGATTGAAGATTCTATATAATCACAATCTGTGTTATCACATAAAAGACAATCGTCAAATAGCATTTAAAACATTTTTAACACCATAAGAGTAGTATTCAAAAATAATGTTCATGTTTTTTTTTTTACTTTGCAGAAATGATATGATGGTGTGTTATTGGGATGGTTCCAAAATAAACTTACGTACTTCTCAGAGTTGTTGCTGATAACACCAGCTACTCCCTCTGATAATATCAGGGCCATGAAATGAAACTGAAGGTTTGCATCTTGAAAAATATCTTCAAGAATATGTCGAGGCTTTGTTATCTCAGTCCTGGGGAGTAGATAAAAATAGAACGTTGCTTCTTACACTCAACTATCAACATTCCTCGACAGTTTATTAGTTACCGTAGATAAAAACCCTTGATTAAATATAACTTTTAAAATTAGCCCCACAGTTACAGCACTTAAATACTGGTTTTATGTAGATATGCTACTGATAACGATCCAATAAAGGATTTTATTACACAGACAGACGTCATTGTGGAGAGTGTACAATGAGTACTTTGTGTTAATACTATGAGTTGTCTCTCTTCAGGTGTATTTAAGGAGGTATGGTTATCTGCACGTCCCACTGGACAGTAAAAGCCCAAACCCTCCACCTGAGGCTATAGCTGAAGCAGCAAGGTGACTGTGCCAAAAATCAGTTTTTATTTCAACCACAGTGTGTTTGCTTCTTTGAATTGTGACACATCATTAAAAAAAATCTTTTGCATCTCAGAATCTTTCAGAAAGTGACAAACCTGCAAATATCAGGAACCTTGGATTCAGCCACAGTGACAATGATGAATAAACCTCGATGTGGTCTCCAGGACTCGTTCAACGACAAATCCCTCAAGTACAGAGTCATGGGTGAGTAAATGTCCTTCGTGTTATATATTCAGATTGTTGATAAAGTGCACAACATCTGGTAAAAAGTGAACACATGTTTCCTGATTGGACAGGTTACTGGCGTAAGAAGATGTTGACCTACCGCATCTTTAATTACACTCCTCACTTGGGTCAGGGAAAGACCCGTCTGGCCATCTTCAACGCCTTTAAGTTCTGGAGTGACGTGTCACCGCTGCGGTTCAAGGAGCTGCAACAGGGAAGAGCAGACATCAAATTCTCCTTTCACAGAAAAGATAAAACATGTCCAGTTCCCTTTGACGGACGAGGTAGGAGAGAGTTACACAACCCTAACCTTAATCCAAGCCTGACCCTAAACCAACCCAACCACAACCCAACCCTAACCTCGACCACAACCAAACCCAACCTCAACTCCAACCCTCACCCTATTAGCACATCTGAGTTTTTGCAGGCTTTTGATTTTAACGTTTAGATAGCACACCACCTCGCCAAGGTTTGGTAAAATATAATAACATATCGGACCCAAAAACACACAGGACACTGCACATAATCTGATCATATGAACAAACTGTCTCCCTCTAATCTGTTAATATCTTGTGAAAAGATCTCAGGGAATTAAATGTTGTTGCGTTTTATCTTCAGGCCACGTTTTAGCCCACGCTGACGCTCCTGAGTCTGGCATCGTCCACTTTGACGAAGACGAGCTGTGGACGGAAGGGAGGAGCTACGGCTCCAACCTGATGATGGTTGCAGCTCACGAGATCGGCCACGCGCTCGGCCTGGGCCACTCACAATACTCCAGTGCAGTCATGGGACCTGTATACAACGGATACCGCTCAGACTTCAAGCTGCATCCGGACGACATACGAGGGATCCAAGCTTTATATGGTGATATCAGAATACCATTACACTGCTGGGATATGTTCTGTGTGCTGTTTGACATATAATGTGCAGTGTCGTCCAACTTTCAGGAAAAGCAGTGAATATTCCTCCGCCCAGAAATCCAAGTCAGTCAGTGCCAGGAGGAGTTGCAGATCCCTGCAGAGCCACATTGGATGCGGTCATGTTGGGTATAAAGAGTCTAACCCAGTCACACTGCACTTAATTTAAGAAAAGACAACACTGTAATTTTCTCAAGGAAGTTCATTTGTTTAGTCATTTTCTCCCCGACAATGAACTGAATCTACAGATATTTTTCTTCTTCACTGTGTCCCTGTAGGTCCTTCACATAGGACGTATGTTTTCAGTGGTCAGCACGTGTGGACAGTGTCCAGCTCTGGCTACACTTCTCCCATGCTGATCTCAGCGCTGTGGAAGGAGCTTCCAGGAAGCCTCAATGCAGCTGTTCACTCTCAGCGGACTGGAAAGTCCTATTTTCTGAAAGGTGGATTAATTTTCATTCTTTCAGACTTTCTCACCCGAACCCCAGAGACACGATTTACCACGCTGGCAAGATTTGAACGATTTAGAGAGCTCATAAAACTCTCATTGCAGATGTTACAGTTTTTCTCTTCTTCCCAAATGTCCTCTCACAGACGACAAAGTGTGGAGATACACGGGATTCAAACTTGACCCCGGCTTCCCCAAACGCTTGGTCAACATCCCTGCAAAGATTGACTCGGCCCTGTACTTCAAAAAGAACAAGAAATTGATATTTTTCAAAGTAAGTGATTAAAAATAACATCTGTTACTTTTGCGACACACACATATATTTTACACTACCTCTCACGTCAGGGATCTGGATACTGGCTGTGGGATGAAATTGGTCCGACAGACTTCAGGTCATATCCCAAACCCATCGGCCATCTCTTCCGTGGAGCACCCAGCAGCACAGATGCTGCGTTCATGTGGACAAACGGACATATATACATATTTAAAGGCTCTCAGTTCTGGCGTGTAAACCAGAACCACCAAACAGTGGAGAAGGGCTATCCTCAGAACATCGCCGCTCACTGGATGCAGTGTGACGACTGAGCCACCAGAGGCCACCGGGGATTCAACACAACAGTTTAAAAACAGTGGAAGACGCTTCTTCATGTCCATCACACTGTGAGAATCCCTGGTGTGAGGAATGAAAGAATTATTATGATAATTGTTATTCATTTGAGGACAATTCATGAGTTCATGTCATTGACAAAAGAAGAAATATTTGCATAATGTGATGTCTCTCTTTGTGGCAATGAGATATGAATATGTGAAAAGTATCTATTAACAGACATGAAATTAATATTTGTGTTGTTAATTTGTGTTGTGTGAGTCGTTGTTATCCACTGACAAATGAGTGATGTTCAGGCTGGAGGAGAAACTATCAAACAAACACAACTAATATTATGATTATCATTATTATCTGGGAATGTATACTTTGATATGGAAGAGGACGGAGATGAAAGTATTAGTTAATTACATGTTGAACTGATCTTTGTTACTAGTTTGTTTGAGAAAAATAACAATTAGTTATTTAAATAAAAGTTTAAGTATTATTTTCCGTCCATAACTTAAAGGAATTAATTGATTGTAGATTGTAGAATGTTTCTATCTGAACATTTGGGCTACCACTGATATTTATATTAAAATCAATAAATTCATTCACCATTTAATGAAAATTGTGTTAAAAAACAATTAAAATGACAGTGACTTCATTCTGTTTAGGGCCAGTTAGACGTCGGCCAAAAGCTAATTCAAAAGTTTCTCTATTTTCTTAAATTGAATGTAGAAAAAGAAGAACACCAGATAAGCTAATCCTGCTAAATGCTACTTATGTTTGTAGGGAAGCAGTAACTGCTGTCTGCAGCCCCTGACTCTGGTGGAATTCAATATAAAATAAATAAAATAAAATAAAATTAGTTATGGGTTTGATTGACTTTTCAGATATGAATCCTTTAATCAATAATTGTGCTGGTATGAATTTATTGCTTGTAACCACAAAACTTTGAAACTAATCTAGACACAAATGGAATCGTTTGCAATCGACCCCCAGTTTCCAGAGAAAATATAATAGTACAGAAAGTAAACATAAACTGCTCAGGGGACGTTGTGATCAAGATGAGTTTGACGACTGTGGATGTGATATTAATTAACCTCGTCATCGTTCGGAGGATGATCTCCCAGCACCTCAAATCCCTCAGTGTGCATGTTGATGATTATCTGAGGAAGCTGGTTTCAGGGGATTCCCGGCAGCAGGCGAGGCGGTTAAATAGTTTTCCGTTGAATTTCAGAGATTCAGCTGTAACACGATGGATTCCTCAGATTCCTCAGAAGTCAGTGTAGTTTACAAATGAGTGATGTTTGTTTCAGAAGGTGAAAACAGGCGAGGTGGCCGTCAGAGGCACCATGGAGCCCGTCTCAAAGTCAAAGTCAATGAGGGCATGTGTGATGGTGCTGACGCTGCTGGTGGACGAGCCTGTTTCCATCTGCCGCTCCTGAAGGCTCTGGAGATAACTCTGCAACACAAACAGGAGGAGGACAGTGACAAAGACTTCATACATGATGAGCCGTGGTGGAAATAATAGAAGTGCTGTGGTAATGAGGAGATATCATTTCTACATCATGATGCACTAACACCTTTCCCCCCCCACATTTATTTGACAAATTTAGTTGCATGTTAAGATATTAAGATTTCATAAAGGAAACAAGATAGGTAGTCTACGTACAAATATTTGTTCTTTTATTATTATATTATAGCTAACAGCAGCTAAAATGCTACTTACACATTAATGTTGAGCTGCAAATAATGGATCAGTTCACTGACAAATCAATTAACCTGCAGACTTTTACTTGTAATGAAGTTTTTATACACTTTGGAGTATCTTTGCAGGACTCATATTAATTAATCTCCATTTGCCAAACAAGTTTACTCAGCACTGATTAATCCAGGTTTATTTTTACAACAATAAAACTCCAATACTATGAAGTCAACCAACCAGGTACATCAACCATTGTGACGACAAAGGCTGCAGCAACTAAGAGTTCATTTCTGGATGAAGACACATTTTAGTCTCAGGTACTGACCGGTGCCAGGACGTCTCCAGCGTAACGTTGCAGGGGCGGAGGCCTGCGGCGCCGGTGCGATCGAGGCCTTCCCCTGGACTCTCTGTATCCAAGCTTCTTGGCATGTCTCTTCTGTTTTTTGTGTGCACCTGGGAAACATGCACAGGTGAGTGTGAGGGAATCATTAGTGAGACAGATGGCCTATTCAACATGAAAACAGCCTGAGCTTGAATGCATCAGTTGGTGCAGAGGAACTCACCTTCTGTGTGAGAAACTCCTTGAGCAGTGAACCTCCACTGCACTAACACACCTGAGAGACTGAGTACAGGACAGATCCCAATGATGACCCCGTTGTACCAGCACAGTGGTGGTGGGGCGACTTGACAGAGCATATCATACACCTGATCAGGCAGCATGAACGCCCCCACCAGATAATCCACACACAGCATCACAGTGGTCGCTCCAAACACAGCTGTGTAGACGATGCTGAATAGTTTCTGCCACAGGAGTGTGCAAACGGCAGTGATGATGCTGATGGCCAGTATGGTACTGAGAGGCACCCACGCGGGAGTAAGGCTGTAGAACTGTCCGATAACCACCAGGGTGACGAGGGAGAGCAGGGTCCCGAGCTGCAGGCCGCTGAAGAGGAGGCCCATCGTTGACAGCAGCATCGTCATCAGGCCGGAGAGCACACCCACGCCCAGGCCTATCCCCGCCTTGGTCTCCGTCCCCAGCTTGACGTCCATCACAGGCTCTGTGTGGTACAGCAGGAGAACGGACATCGTGCCGAACAAGAAGCCAGAGAGGAACATGACCATCTTGAAGCAGCGGTATCCTGGGAAGTCGAGAATGAGAATGACAGTTTGAGTTTTACATGTAAAAACGGTGATTGTAGAACTTTATGATTCAATCCAGAGGAACAGTTTTCTGACAATAAACAGAAACAAGTTAGTGCTCCGATCAGAAGCTAGAGGGGAAAGTTCCTCCAGGTTTGTGTTTGGATAAACTTTCCTTAAACAAACATACAACAATGTCAGATTCCTTGTAAATACACAAACACAAAGGTTTTCAAAGAGTGGTAGTAAAAATCTGAACTCAGAGTTTATTCTATTTATTCAGTAAATAAGGAAAACACAACACTAACAAAACGTACGTATTATTTAGTCATAAACTTTCTAACAGGCAGCAGCAAACAAAGTTTACACTTTAAGAATTGATGAGACTTAACAGGAAGTTTGGCAGCGTGTTTGTTTGAATAATGTCACATGTTTTAGGGAGCAGGTCGACAGGACACACAACTGCACACAGTTTGGTTTGGTTGGTTGTGTGTTTACATTTTACAGCTTTGCTTTATGTTTCAGTCTTAAAGTAAATCAGTTTATTACTCATCAGATACAAATGACTGTTTTCTGGACCTGAGAACGTGTTTACAAAAATCTAAAATCACTGCCAGAACTCTCACCAGCTTTCTTCAGGTTTAACACGATGACGTAAGTGAGATGTCAGTCAGTGCAACAGGTGGCGCTTCATATACCTCTGTCGGAGTCAGACACGGGACTGTACCCATCTGCCTCCTCCAGCTTTGGGATTATCCAATCTAAACCCCTGGCAGCCTTCAGGCACCTGCCACGAGGCTGTAAGCCATAGATACTATAGATACTAGTGAAACAGTAGAAAACTAGTCAAACTGTGACTTTAAAAGAGAAGAAAACTTTAGTCTCCACTAAACGGTCCCAAAGTGCAGCTCTGGTGTGGTGAATACGTACCGAGGAAGCAGTAGATGAGGCCGAATGAAAGACAAACAGAGCAGACAATGGATGAGATGACTTCATACTTCATACTAATCTCCAGCGTGCACATGTCCACTTCAGCTCCTGCCTCCCCGATAACATAGTCTGAGTGGGCTGCCATCTCTGAGGACTAGTTCTTCTGTTCTGGATGTGAATCTGCTTTGTTCACTGAAGACGGGAAACTGCAAAGTGCTGCATGTTGCATCCAGGGTGAGAGGAAATTCCTGCTGTGCACCTGCAAAAAAAGAAAGAAGTGTTTTCAGCTCTGTGGCAAACTGTTATTATCCATCATGTCTTATGACCGTCCTGTGAGGAAACGCTGTCAGATCATAATTTTGATTTAATATGAAACATCATCATATTTCCAAATGAGATGATTCATGTGAGAGGATAAAGCTCTTTCCCACGTTCAAGCATCTGTTCAGGAACCAGAGAGGGAAACTTCTCTCTCTGCTTCTTTTGTTCAAGAGCAGGATGCAGATGAGGAAATGACCTGGTGGCTTTGTGCCGCCGTCACACAATCTGATTGTTCTGGGAACAGGTACTGTGCTTACCGAGCAATACGACAAAAACAAAAAGGCTTCACAATATTACAAGTTGTTCTAAAGCATAAATAAAGACAGTAACAACCTGAAGTGGAAGAAGAACTCAGATCTTTAGATAAAAGTCAAGACAGCAATAAAATAATATCA